ATATATATATATATATCCTGGAATGCAAAGCATTATGGGATTTGCTGGCGACTAATAAAAAAGATGGCGCAGGCATTGTGAAGTGGAGGAGGAGTTACATGCCCGGTAAGTTAACTGAGTTCACTATTAAGTCCACTATATAGTCCCTGCTCTATATAGTGATTGAGGGATTTAGGGGTTAGGACGGACGTTCCGGAACAGTAAGCCTGTATGATCTATGAGAACAACAAATTTTAAACAGAGCATGCATGAGGAGAAATGGGATTGTGCATGCTCTCGCACGAATTTACATGTAAAAAATTACATGTTCCCTCTCAGGAGCGGGTACAGGGTTGTGCATGTGCATTACCTTTAAACAATTAAACAATAATTAATAGCTAGTATTAAGAGTTTTTCCTTTAACTTTAAGTTTTGAAAAAAACATTCACATTTATTTAAGACACAAAAATGTAGCAACCTTTTTGCAAAGACTTACAATCGCTTCAACTAATGCAGTCTTTTCCTCCAACTTGGTCTTTTTCAGTTCAATTAAGTAAAAAAAATAAATAAATAAATAAAAATCAATCCAAAGGTCTAGAGACCACAGCACTGGACTATATGGTTGTATTTCCTGGTTCTGGTCAAGACCCGAGCAGCAGCGTTTTGGATAAACTGCTGTTGTCTAACCGCTTGTTAGGAACAGCCAGAGGACCGGCCGTTACAATAATCTAACCTGCAGAAGACAAATGCATGGATTCATCTCTCCAAGTCTGTTTTAGACACTATGTTCTTATTTTAGTAATGTTTTTTAGATGGTAATAGACCACTGATGTAATGGACTCAATATGGCAGTTGAAATTCAGGTCTGAGTCCATGATTACCCCGAGATTTCTCACTTGATATTTTGGTTCTCATGAAAGAGTCTTAAGATGACCAATGACAATTGTCTCATGAAATATCCCCCTATTTGAGTTCTTTACATTCACTTACTTAAGAGAAGAGAGAACTGTTTTTATTCAGAATTAACATTTAGTTGAGGAACATAAGTATCACTTTGCATGTTTATTTCCACTTAGCTAAGAATAGACAGTTGTGGCACCTTCATGCTTACAGCACAAAGCGAAACCTCCTTTTCTTAAAGTACTTATCATAGTAAAGGTGACCATCGCCCAAAGGAAAACCAGACTGTAGCTGTTGAAATGACAGCAGACAGGTTTAATAGATGAGAGGTCGGAATGAAGAGGTGTGAGTTGCTTACCTCTGTGGTGATGGAACAATGCAGAGATGGCAGAATCTCATCAACCTTCTGAATCAGGCTGCGCAGAGTGATTCCTACAGCCTGCAGACAGTGTTGAACACATTTAGGAATAAGATGATGATTTAGTGCACCAATTTAATGTTTTTCCAAAAAAAGTTTAAAAAAAAAAAAAATAATCGACTGGACTTTGTTTGAAGACTTTTCTCTTCCAATCCAGGAAGCTTTTTCAAATCAAAATGTCAGAATTGGCATGAGTTCAAAGCTTTATATAGAAGCCTAAAACCTTGCTTTGGCTTAGAAAACATGCAAATTGAACCAGAAGAACAGGTATGACCCATAGGGCATCATTGCAACCCCCAACGCCATACGGGTGCCCAAAACATCTCGCCTGTTCAGCCAGGCCAACAATTGCCCCTAACAACCCCCTTTCAGAGGCGTAGGCCCGTATTTGGTATTGCAGGCTAACAAAGAACTCAGATGGCTCCCCATTCCTAAGACTTGTTATTCTGGTTTAATTTGCATGTTTCCTAAGGTGTTGATTTGGTCCACTCTATAAAGCCTCGAACTCAACGCTAATTTGGACATTTTAAATTGAGAAAAACATTCCTGGATGCGAGAAAGTTCAGTGGATTATTATTTTTGTTTTACTTTTTTGGAATGACTATGACCTGGATGGCTGAGAATCTTCATTAGCACTCGATTGTATGATATACTCATGCTGATGAGGAGTATGGATTAACCAAGACGCATAATTGGGTGTACCTTGACGGCGGTGGGATACTCCGAGGCAGGAAGCGTGTTGACGTCATTCTTCAGCTGCACCACCTGCTTCACCATGGCCATGACGGCAGTATAGACCTCGTCTCCAGACCGGTCCAGTTCAGCTGTGGGCCGAGGCTGCAAGGGCAAGACCAAGTGTATGCATTTTATCATTACAGCATAAAGGCAATCTCAATTAATTTGCCAAATAAAGAAAACAGATTATTGGTTAATATATGAGCTGTCAGGTGAAAGAGATTTTACCTGTGAGGCAGCTGGAGGCATCGGTGGTTTCTCTGGGGGACCTGACACATAAAAAAAGTATTTTAAATAAAATCTCAACGGCATGGAAAGTTTCTTTTTTATGTTAGTTTTTAAATGTGCAAAAGTTTCACTAACTCCTTAACTGAGTCACATCTTTGCAATGTTTTAACTGTAAATTTAAATATATTTTATTGGGATCTTTGGATTTTTAAACCGTTTTACTCAGAAATCTCTGGAAATTGTTTTGATTGTATCTACAGGCTTTGCACATCTTGAAACAAAAATAATTCTGAGCAAAACGGCCCAAATTCTGAATAAACAAAATAGAAAATATATTTTTAAGTGTGTCTTATTTAGCTATTCAGTGTTGTCTTCTGGAGCCCTTGTTTTCCTCTCAGAATGGTCCATCTTCTCAACCTGTTTTTACAGCCTTCCTGTTCAAACAGTGCTTCCCAACAGCATGACACTGCCACCACCATGTTTTATGGGGAATGGAACGATTACTGGGATGTAGAACCCCTTCTTCCACATTGGAAGCCCCCTGTGACATTTTCTGAAAAATACTCTAGCTTAGTTTTTTGCCTTTTTAGAGAGGCCATGTTTGTAGAATTCACCAACTAATGGAGCCCAATTGATGGATTCTCCCTACTAGATTTTTGACGTCTTCTGTTTGGATGTGTTACAGTTAGCGCTTCCTACTTTGTCATATTATCCTATTACCAAACTCTATATTTCTGTAAAACTCCCTGATATTTTGGCCATGTTTCTTTATCCTCATGACTCTGTTTGCTCATTAATTAAGATAGTTGAGAGCACTGGATTTTATTTGGGAGTATCGGAGCAAAGGGTGCTGAATCCTTCCTCCTCATCATGCGTACCACTTTTTTTTCTTTTTTTTTTCTATCACACCAAAGACCATTAAAATACACTGAGGTCTGTCTCTGTAATGCAACAAAAATCAAATGGGAACAAAAAAAAAGAGTTAAAGAAAAATTAATGCAATACAGATACATATAGTGTAAGGATCAGCAACTGTAATCAATCCAGAGAGGGATTTATGCCATCATCCCTTAATAAGAACCACTCTTCAAGAAAAAAAAAAAAATGATTGAAATGATAATTTGATTAAGATTAATAGTTGCTAGCTGTTAAAAAATACAGAAACAGTCATTTCATTAATTGAATAAATTCAACAAATGTGACAAATGTTTTGTTTTTTGATCAATTTAAAGAACCACAAACTCAACGATGTTTTTTTCCCTGTTTTAAGTTACAATAAATATGACAAACTCTCAGAACTATGCTCAGTTTTTTATTTACAATTACTATTACTTGAGTCAAATATATATCTCTTTTTATATCTCTCTTTTAAGGTGATGAAAACGATGTTTTGTCATTATCTCTTTTGTCTTCTCCTTCTCTCACCTTCTCTCCTTTTCCTTTTGTGATGTCCACATAACACAGGGTTTATACAGGAATGAATAACTCTAACTTAATGCTTTTTAAGGCTCTTTTACTGCTCTTAGAGATAATTTTGATGCCACCAACAGGTACCAGTCGACAGGCTGCAGCCATGTCCTGAATTCCTCGTTTTCCAGCCACTTTTGTTGAAATTAGTTTCCCCCCCCATTTTTTAGCTTTTTCTCCGACTCAAGCTTCTTTTCTGAACATAGAGCTTTGCGATCAACCGGAAGCAGTTCCACACAAATATATCATGATATAATATGTCTGTTTTATAAACATTTTTTTTAATGAAGCATTTTAAATGCCACAATAAACACATTTAATGAATTTTAAAGCCAATTAAGGCCTTAATTTAAAAAAATAATAATTTAATGACTGTTAATGATTTTTAATGACCTACAGAAACCCTGTAACATGAATTATTCCCTACATAAATCATAATAAAACTTTTTACACATATAAATCAAGCAGAGCACTATAGTGAGAGCGATGATGCTCCACTTGTGAGAGTAAAATCTGTTTGGCTCTTTCTGGCATTAAGAAAAAAATTCACTCAGGACACACACACAAAAAAAGAGTAAAATATTCAGAGCCACCATGTATGCCCTAAGTAGTGGCAGGTTGCAGAACCCAGATTAAGGTATAGAAATAAGCCTTTTTTTTTATTGTTATAGATGTCCTTATAGATTCAAGCAGTTCCTTATCTAGATTTAATCCATTTTTCTCTAAATGATAGTATCATATGTTTTTTTTTTGTTATACATCTTTGATAAATGCATCTTAAAACTTCTTTTTTGAAATATATACATTTTTATAACAAACTAAAAATACAAAAACTGTATTTAAAATCCCCAAAATTTAAATTAGGGCTCTATCTTTCCATTTTACTGTCGGAGGCATTAGAAAAGATCAAAATGTATGATCTGGACTCACCGTTTTGGGGCCTTTTTTCCGGAAGCTGGAAATAGATCAGAAGGAGGAAATTAAAGTATTTTTTTTTCCTTTACATTTTTACACAAAGCTCTCTAGTAATACATTAGTTATAAAGCTTAACTTTACTCTCAGCCAAACCAATCTGCTCAGTGATGAATAAAACACAAAAATAAACATTCACTATTGGATTTCATCTCACTAAAGTATATCTCTGAGCTGGATATGAACCTATTTAGACCAAACATCTGTGAAAACTGATGTTTCCATCTTACAAGCTGACTTTTGTGTCACAGAAAGTTGAGAAAATCCAATTTTGCCATTTTTGCCCCTTACTTCTGTCATGGTCGTGGTTCTGCTGTTCTTTTCTTTGCTCCTTGTTTTCTAGATTTATTAGCCTAATTCCAGTTTTGTTGTATTTCTAGATTTATATTAGTTCTCAAGTTTTTCTGTTGTCCTCTTTTGCCCTCTTGTGTGTGTATGTTCCTTTCCCCTTGGCTCCCTCGTTGTCTCCTCTCACACCTGTTCCTTGTCTGCTCGTTAGCCCTCCCTTTGTTTCTGTCTCCTATATATGTTCTCCCTCTGCTCTCACTCTTTGTTGGTTCCTTGTCTTTGCTGTCCTCCCATGCTGTTGTCCACGTTCCTCGTCTCCTCCTGGCTCCTCGTGTTTGGTTTTCCCCAGATGTCTCCTCTGTTCTGGTTTGCCTTTTTATTATTAGTTGCATTTTTGGATCCCTGCCTTTGTTTACTGTTTTGCCCCATTAAAACTCCCAAGAGATCTCCTCAGCCTCTGCCTCTGCATTTGGGTCCTCCAAACCACAACTAAACCCTGACAACTTCCAATATTGTCCTTTCATTGCATACCCTAAATCAGGCAATCAGCTGTGCTCCATTGAGGACCGACTTTGGACATGCCTGCCCTAAATAATTACAGGGATGAACTGAAAATCCTCCACAAAGTCTAGGAAGTTCATCAGAGAAAATGTAGTCCATGGAAATTGAAATTATCTAGATGAAATTGCATTGGACCTTGCAATATATAGGTTAAAGCTTGAATAGCATAGCCACAAGGATGTGAATTATATTTGGGGGAGTTAAGTTACATCTTTTAGTCCTTAAAAGCACAGTTAAATCTGCTAGGCATGGTTGAGGAAGCTTTGGTTATGCTGTGGTTCTGCTTTGTATCAGGAAGTTGATAAAATAATGAAAGCAGTGGACTAAATCAACAGCTAGTAGTAATCTACAACACATCTGCTCTTGGTTTGGAACAGAAATACCTTCTATAATGAATCTGTTCTTAAGCTTGTTGAAGTTATATCTCTTCCAGGAAAACCTCTGTGCTAAAATGGGCTTTAACAACTCATCTAGTAAGTACTTGCCAGGGCCTTATTGATGGCCACAAACAGCATATTGTGGTTCTGCAACTTGCTAAGGGGTCGTAACCAATCATTAGTTAATGTGAATTATATATTTTACCTCATAAAGTGACAACTTGTGTGAATTGGTTTATAAACCATTTATAACAGTACCACTGCTAAAAATAGATGGTTTCATTTTCCACCAGCTAGTAAAAATGGTAGAGAAGGAGAACAAGATGTACCTTGGTTTGTGAATCTTGTCTCACAAAAGGATCCTATTAACGAAAGACAAAAAAGGAACCAACATGAAGCTTCTGTGTGAAAAAAAACTATTTCTTCTTAAAATATGTGTATCATGGTGGTGATCAGTTCGTCTCTGTGTGTTTCACACCCAATAAGGAGGCAAGTGTATGTTTTAGTGAGAAGCATCCCTCACCAGTTGCCTCTCCTCTTGCTCCAGCCACTCTTTGTCCATCAGCATCTCTCTCCTCTGTCTTTGCAAAGTGTCTTCCACTTGCTCTTTCGCCCACAGATTCCTGCCATCTTTCTCCGGAACCTAAAAAACGTGCAGACACAACAGATACGCCACAGCATTTGAAAAGATGATTTTAATCTCCACTGCACATCTTCAAACCTCGCATGGTTTACCACACTCTTGTTCATTTTCTCAGAAACTATTTTGCATATTCTTTTTTTTTCATTAAGCTTTTGTTTTCCTGTCCTTTTCTTTATTTGGCATTACTTGTACCATGCTATGTTATTGACTATTATTTTTCCTTTGGTACAGATGTGTAAGATATAATATCCCAGGGAATTTAAAATTGAGCTATGAGTCTCTTTTACTGCCTAAGCATGAATCGGGGAAAAAACCTTGGCTGACATGGTACTAAAAACACCTTTTTAACAACCTACTTGTCGGAGTAAAAGCTGAATTTAACAGATCCCCGCTTAGACATCTGTCTGTCAGAAACTTCCAGACAAAACCACGGTCAGACTTAAGGCTGATACATACTCCATGAGAAGTATATAACAAAATAATTGTTCCCGAGCCTGTAACATCATCAGCGACCCCTCACAACCCCACCATGGACAGTTCCCCTTTCTGCCCTCGCAACATTCGACACAGAACCAGCACATTCTGTAACAGTTTTTTCCTCCCACTGCCATCAGACTGTGGAACCGTTGAAAACTCCAATCAGGTTACAAATCGAGACAGCATCACACTTTAAACATTAGACTTTGCACCACAGGGTGTATCTTCAAAATAAAACTCAACTCAGTATTTCTACTGCATTTTGCTCCATGTCTCTTTATTTTTTGCACTGCTCTGAATCTTCCACATCAATGCCTTTTGCACCATGTCTCTCCTACACTGTTTATATTCTGATCACTGCTTCATTTAATAAATGGAAATGTTCATTTCACTGCTAAGCTGCTGCTGTTTCACTGTCGGAAAGCTGTATGTGTCGAATTTTCGTACACTGATCTAAGGCAGTGAGATGATACAAAAAAATAAAAATTTGCATGATACATCTAATTTATATAACGCATTCTGCTTTCCTCCTCCTTCCCCTTTTGCATGCTGGTGCATTTTCTGTTATCGGTATGACACAAGGTGCAATAGATGAGCATATGATGGCCTTTACTGTGTCAATCAACTACTCACGCCCATTTGACCAAAATATTAAAGACCAGTTTATGTCCATAATAACTAAAATACAACATAACAGTTCATTGTGTGGATCCAGCCAAAGAAAACAGAGAGAGAGAAAAAAAAACTTTTACGAATTTTCGTTTAATTGCATAAACATTGTTTGCTTCCTGCACCACTGATCTTTTTCTTTTGTAATACTATTTTACTTTTGCTATTTGTGAAAGTCTAAATATGATGACATGCACAAAGACTCTCTCTCTCTTTTCTGTGTCGCTGTGGCCACAATGACATTTTCACATGTAAGTTTGCACCTAACTTTCGAACTGCCCCTGCAATTAGTTTAATGGTTTGATCATTTTCTGTGTATTTATAACTGTTCTTTGCATTTATCACTGTTGTGATTCGGACATCCCAGATGAAACACATGAAAAAGATTGGTTTATTATTGATTATTGCAGCTCTGGTTATGTACTTGCGCCTGGTATGAAGATCAGCTTTGCACTTGCTAAAAAGTTTTCATGTGTTTTTGTTTACGCAACCCTTATCAAGATTGGGCCCTAAAAATTAGCATTTTGTCCATGAATATTCTAGGTAGGTAGAGAATAAGACGGAAGAGAAATCATTTAAAAGCACTACTTGAACACTGTTAAGTATAGTAAAGGATCTTTTATGCCCTGGGCTATTTCTCTTCTAATGGCCTTAGAACATAATTCGAATACATATATTCATAAATCTGACAATAGTTAACACTTGGAATAATAATTTGATCGATTTTATTTAAAAAATATAAAAATAGAGATTCAAAAACATCTCCCAGATTTCAGCTACAGTATACAATTTTTACGGCACTGTAATGCACAACTTTACCTAGAGTTTAAATATCTATAGAGTATAGTGCACAGTAAAAGTCTGTATGCAAGGAATTTAGATTTTTTTTGCTTGTGCATGTTTGCTTACCTTTTTACGGGCAAGGGTGTTACCATGATTTCTGGAGGGCTGATGATAATAAAGAAGCAGAGAAAGAAAACTGATCTTTAATGTTGAACAAATCTGATATGAACAGAGGATAATGGAAAATCTGGAAAAAAAAAATGCTCTTTTCATGAACATTATTTTATAAAGAATTTAAGAAAAGTACCTAACATTTTAGGTAATGCAACCACAGCTATTTCTTTTTCTTTCTAAAACAGGCAGCACCAAAATGATAAAGTGTCAGACATTTAAAAGCAGTCTAATTTAAAGGTACTTTCATGCAATAAGCTGTGATGCCGTTTGAGTAAACATTTCCTACCAACAATTATTCATGTTGACATGGTTGATAAATTTGGTACCTTTGGTGGAGGCTCTGTGCGGCCGGTCTCTAAGGTGCAAGACAGAGAGTGTGACCTTACTCTTCTAAAGTCTGTTTCCTGTTCCAGCTCCATCTTGTGAATTTCTCTGTCAAAACAGGAAACTTTAAAACTCTTGATGCTGAATATAAATGAACTGCTAATGAGGCACAGATAGGAGGATTTGTGAGTTTGCACCTGAAGGAGAGGACGAGATCTCTGAAGGTGGGACGGCTGTGCGGCTCGTAGGACCAACAGCGGGTAAGCAGGCTGTAGATGGTGGGAGGGCACTTCTGGGGTTTGCCGAGCCGAGTCCCCGACTCCAGCAGGTTGATCACCTGTCCGTTTTCCAGCCAGGAGAACGGCTGCTGGGCCATCGAGAAGATCTCCCAGACACACACTCCTGATTAAAGAGACGACCATAGTTAAAGAAGCAGAAGTATACGGTTTGACTTTCCAAGTTAGTTGCTAGGTTTAAAACCAAGTGACCTAAACCCACTCGTCTCAACAAAGTTGCTAGGTTATACACCTTCTCAGAAGGTGTATAACCTAGCAACAATACAATTCAAGTCAGTTTATTTATATAGCGCCAATTCATTACACAGGTCATCTTGAGGCACCTTATGGAGACAATTCAATCAGATCGTACAGTCAAACTGATCAAAAGTTTCCTATCTAAGGAAAACCAGTTGATTGCATCAAATCATTGACTCGAGGGCAATCCCTCACACCACGCATGCTTGTAGCGACGGTGGAGAGGAAAAACTCCCTTCTAACAGGAAGAAACCTCCAGCAGAACCAGGCTGAGTGTGAGCGGCCATCTCCAGAGGCTGACTGGGGCTCAAGGAGACAGAAGCAGACATAGAAAAAGAAGCAGAGATACAGTAGGCAACTGTAAACCAGCTCCACAGGCGGCCCATTCCAGGAAGCACACAGCCAGATGTTAGTTAGTCACAGTGAGAGAAACAAGATTGCACTGAAAAACAGGCCAAGCTCTAACATGCAAAAACAAAGGTGTTGGTGGCAGCAGCATAACTGGAGTCACAGCCAAACAGGAACACACCGGACGAAGCTATTACTGTATGATGAGAAAAGGAAGAGAGAGCATAACATTAGAGATTTAACAAACAATTACTGCAAAATGGGAGAATACAGTGAAGAAATGGGGTCCCTATGTCCTCCAGCAGTCTAAGCCTATAGCAGCACAAATGAAGAAAATAGCTCAGGATAACCTAAGTATTTTTGATGAGGTATAAGAAAGGTAGAGCCACAGTGTGGCCAAGGTAGAGCCAAGGAGAACGTCTGTGCGAACTGAAATTCTCACCGGCCATATCGGGTTGTTAATGCTCTACCCCCACCTACCTCTCTACTTTCACAGCGGCTAAGCACATATCAGTCTTTTTTTAACTATAAGCTTTATCAAAAAGGAACGTATGATGGATACAGACAACTGGAGCCGATCACGTACGTTACACTATGCAATGATTATCCAAAAGACCAATTCTCAATGTAGAAGATGGGTTTGAAAGTACGGAAAAGACCCATAGATGATTGGTTTGAAAATCCAACAATAATAGATCAGCTAGACCAATTTAATGTGGGTCAGCAGGGGAAGGTTTACTTTGTTTGCTGATGGCCACAGGATGTATCAGGGTTTGTGGGAAGTCTTTCATGTTTACAATATTGCATAGACCAGTGTTTCCTGAGCTAAACTTGGTGTGTCAGAGAAAAGGGTTTTAGTCTGAACTATGCACCACTTTTGCAGCTGTTAAATATGTTTTAGTTTCCTTCCCCTTCACACTTAAACATTTATGTGCCTAAACATGTTGAAAATTTCACATTAAGTAAAAAAAAATCAAACAAAAAAAACATGGTAGGGGTACATATTTTATTTAGGTAAGTTGAAATACCTTTTCCCTTGTTGGGAGTCATTTTTTATAGCTAACGCGGGGTAGGATTATTTAAAAAAATAAATGAAAAAAGATTATCCTAACTCTTATGTGGGTCTCTAAAACCTGAAGTTTTTTTTTTTTTTTATCATTTTTAAATAGATACCAGAAAAATGAACTAGACTAATCATTAAATCTGCAAATTCCACTGATAAATCAGATAAATAAGATTTCAAACTGGCATCTTTAATGTTGGTGATGAAGAGTCAGAGATGATTTGGCGATGAAATGGGATTTGGTTTGTCACAGAAAATGGCAGAATGCTGAAGTATGCCATTTCATCTATACCAGTGGTTCTCTGTCCTGCTCTGCATGTTCTAGATGTCTCTCTGTTGCAGGACACCTGCTTCAAAGGATTGCATGAGCTCATCATCAGCCATCAAGAGCTGCAGAAGCCCCTAATCACCCCAGGTGTGTCGCACCAAGGAGACAGTCGTGCTTGAGGATCAGGATTGAGAACCACTGATCTTGAAACTAAGGCTCAATCCCAAACCGGTCCCTAACCACAAACTTTTTAGTAATACAAGTACAGTATCAAGTCTCACTCGCAATAAAGTCACACTCATAGCTGTGGAGGGCGCCTCGATTAAAGGTAGAGGGGTATAAATGACAATGGGATGGTCTCTTCCCTTCAATAGAAAAATAAAGCAGCCGTTGCTGAGGCAACACAGTGACGTCCCATGTGCTTGACTGTAGCTCTGTGGCGGAAGGTGACATAAAATAAAACATTTTCCTCTTTCTTAAAACAAATGTATACAGTCAAATCAAATTATTTCAAAGACAACCTTCCCTTTTAGAATTAATTATGTTTTTTACTTATACTTGTGACTTTTTTGTCAGTGTGATGAAGATCCAGCAAACCGCTGGAACTTATGTTTCCTTGTTACACTTGCGGCTAATTGCAGACGCTATTTCAGGCTTGAACGTTCCACTGGCCCTAGCCACTACGTGGTTTGGGCTAATGTGGTGGACCCTCCGTGTGACGTGCAAACGGAGTGTTAATGCCTAGGGGCCGGTTTGGGATTGGGCCACAATCTGTACAGGAAATAGGAAAAAAATGGTTGATTTCTCTTCACCTACAAAACAAACCTTGATGTGAAAGCACTTTTCCTCAAAGGTTAGGAAACAGTTTTAGGGTAAAGCATGACAAAAGCACATCATACAGCTCTAGCAGGGAGGAAACACTCAGACCATGCTGTTACCACAGTTGTATAGAACCATAAAGCTTATCACGTAACAGAATAAATGACGAGACACAGCATGACAACTTTCATTAGGAAAGAAGGGGTTTAAGTCTCTTATGTTTTACTATTTTATGTTGATTTCCTTTATTGGATTTCATTGTAAGATTTCCTTCATGCTCTCCTTTCAGAGATCATAACTTTCATCGTCTCTGGAAGTTTTAGCAAAATGCAGCTTAAGTTGTTATAAACCACTTTTTATTTTCAATGTTTAAAGAAAATATGTAATTCCTTAGTTATGATCTTGATAGTACAGTAGCCTTGCATGCATAGAAACCTTTAAAGTTTGTATTTATTGGAGTGAAGATGAGTTAATTTCTCACCAAACATCCAGACGTCACTGGCTGAGGTGAAGCGCCTAAAGTTGATGGATTCAGGGGCCATCCATTTGATTGGTAATCGACTAACTGAGGCTGCACACAGAGGAAGAGAAGGTGACGCCAACAAAGGCCACACATATATTGTGTTATGAGGCATAAACAAATAAACATGCAGGTAAGGTGTGCGTTTATGTACCTTTATAATATTCTTGATCATCAACGTAGCGAGACAGCCCAAAGTCACCTAGCTTGACGCATTCAGCAGATGCAACCAGGATGTTTCTGACTGCTATATCTCTGCAAACGCAAACAGTTTTAGAAGGACTGAGACAAGAACATAAATGTACTAAAAAAAAAAAAAAGTTGAAATTAACTCAACTGCTATTAGAATGCTTGCTCTCAGTGGATAAAATGAACACAGCTTTATTGCAGTAGAGTAAAAATTAATTTTCTTGATATCAAGCGGGGTAAAATGTTGTAACTGATGAAATGAGCCCAGAGCATCATAGGTCCTCCACCTTATCTAACTCTGAATGTTTGTTTCTTTATCAAACTGTACTCATTATATATGTGATGGTAGATTATTCCTCTTAAAAGTCTAGTTAGCATTTGGATTTCACTTTGTGGATTTTTTGGAGGATTCGATTACTAATGAAGAGATCCCGGACTTTCACCAAAAATGAGAAATAAAGCTCTAATTAAATAAGCTCCATCTAGAATTTTAGGCATAATCGTGTCTAAATCTTGAATTTTTTCCTTCTCTATCTAAGCTACTAAGGTTTTTTTCTATTTTTCCATTGAGTCAATGCTATTGCATTAAAAAACTATTTTTATTAAGTGGTTAAAACGCTGCAGATATGAAGATAGGTTACCTGTGTACCATGTTGAGTCCCTCCAGGTAAGCCAAGGCGTTGCAGATTTGGAGACAGTACTGGGTTAACCTTGCTATACTCAGGATGTACTGCTGCTCCACAAGGTAGTTTCCCAGCTTGCAGATACACAAATTCATAGATTTTAGCAAAATGGACGGAGATAACCTCACAATGACCAACTATAGCGGTTTTGTTAATCGGATCAGATGGATAGGAAGCCAGTTTAAATGTAGGGACACACCTCTCCATGTTCATAAAGCTCCATGACAATCCAGACTGGATCGAACTCGATGACTCCGATGAGGCGCACAATGTGAGGGTGGTCCAGGTTTTTCATAAGATCTGTAACAAAGGGATCAACACAGATCACTTCAACATGTCTTATGTCAATGCTTAAATGTAAATAAGATCATTTTACCTACAAGTACAACCACGTAGATTAGAATATGGGCTGATGAGGCATATTTGTCATGTAAGCAGGTGTTAAGCATACTTTTTATGAAGCCCATATTTCTGAATGAAAATGTTTTTCTAGTTGGTCTGATGTATTTTTATTTCACATATATAGTTTTTTGCCCTTAAGGAAAAGCTATTAAAGCATTATTTTTCTCCTTTTGAGTTTCATTTAATTAAAGCCAACTCTATCCTATACAAAAAAATAGGCCGTTTCCTGATCTTTCAATATCGGTATGATAATATAATAACCACTCAGGTAAAGGACTCGGATGTTTGACTTAAAGAAACCAAATATTTGAACTAAAATTGAATAAATATGAAAGTGAAAATTCACAAACTGAACTTTAAATACAAAGAAACACATTTTCAAAGCAAATCAATTCTGTGGAATTTCTACCTGAAGAACATCCTAACAGTCAGGCACAGAGGTGGAGGTGAAATGGTTTGGGAAGAATTCACTGCACTTAATAAATGACAAATTTTAAAACCATAGCACTAAACCACCTCTTTTATGCCAGACACTAAAAACTGAGTGAACTAAACCCACTCGGCTCAACAAAGAATAGAGCCGAAGCTTAAAAGAAAACGCGTAAAGATCATAAAGTGACTTGGATTGGAAACTTGAAAGGAAACCTTTAAACCAAAAAACACAAAGGACCTAAACCTGGGGTGTCAAACTTAAGTTTCCCTGATTTGCTGTTGCTTTGATACACCTAAATCAAACATTAGGTCACTAGCAGGACTATAAAGAACTTTACTGAATGCTGAGAAGCAAATTAACCAGCACGGTATAAAAGTGGCAAGACACTCCAGTCCTTGAAGTTTGCAAACATCCTATTTTATCTTCATTTTATTGTTAAGAGGCATCGTACGAATAAAACTTCACCCATCATGTTTTACGCAATGTTTATCTGAGAGATCGAATATGTTTTTTCCCATTATTCTAAGATATAAACCATCAAAATAACAGGTTGTACGACTATACAGTACAGTACATACAGTACTACATGACATACAGTACATACAGTGTGTCCACTTTATGTACCTTGTGAGTCATACAGTGCGTCCGCATAAATATTGTGGATCGAGGAAAAAAATAAATAATAAGGACATAGATTTGATGTGACTTATGTACATCTAAGGTAATTAATAATTGTATTTCTATAAGTCAGGCTATTCTAGGCAGTCACTTTTGCGTTTTTAGCATCTTATATGGTTGGTTTGGTGAAATTTGCCAACTCTTTGTATCTCAAAGTGCTTCTATTCAGAATAAAGCATGATATAACTAAGCACACATCATGAGACGATTATTGCATTTTGTGCCCACAGAAATGCCACATTTGAATGCATTTATTGTGAATAGAATTTAAAGTATGAGCCTGAATAAATTCAGTTAATATAGGAAATGAATGAGAATAAGCATAGGAATAATGATCAGTTTAATTATTATTTCCTGCCAGAACGAGAACAGAGAGAGAAACATCAAGCAGTAGAAAAAAACAAAACAAATAAACTAGTCTGCATCTAAAGAGGGACAGCAGGATATCCTGTTAATAGCCAGCGGTGTCTGGTTCTAAAAAGTGCAGAAATAGAACTGTCAATCAAAAAAGGATCTAGCATGCTTTCCTTTAACGTCAATCCAAATATTTTTATATTTCAAACCTTATTATAAAGACTTAAGCTCAATTAGAATGGATTACCATTCATTTTATTTAAAAAGAAACTAACTTTGAAGTCTTACCACCCAATTAGAACGAGGTCTGGGCTTTGACTAGGCCGAATTAACTGTTGAATAATCATGGATCTAAACTATTCATGGTCTGATTTAAATTTTGAGTCGTTCTGCTGTAGATGAACCTCCACAGATTGATGCTCTCACTGCCTAGTTTCACCTTAAACAACGGTGTGTTGAGGTTATCATAACACATTTTTTCCATAAAGGTCCATTTTATCCTGATACATGCAGCGCTCTTCAGATGTTTGACATATTTTTTGAAAACACTCATTTCCCTTTTCATATATTTCCACTAGTTTTGATGTGTCACATAAAATTATCAAAAAATATATTTGCGTTTACAGCAAAATAAGGTAATAGAAATCAGCATGAGATGTGTTTAGATATGTTTTGTAATCAAACTCCTCCCTACAAAAATCTTGAAACCTGAATGAAAAAAAAAATGTTCTAATGTGGCTTATTATTTTTGTGTTGTATAGATTTTCCCTGCTGTCACCACAGGTTTCAGTCTGAGCTGTTGCACAAAGCCGCAGGCAGGCAACAGGAAGTCAGCAAAGACGGCTCTCTGATCGAGAACACGGAACGTCCAATCAAGCCAAAAGTAAACTTCCAATTTCCTTTCTTTCAGCTGTTTCTCTTTTCTTTTCATACTTCTTTTTCACAATATATAAAATGTCCTCATTAAAAGCAATGAAAGAAGTTTTCTTATACTTGGAGTTTTAAAAGTTGAGTCAAGTCGTCAGCTTTGACGTGGGCATTAATCATAATGTAAGTAACAGGGGCCCTCTCTGTGTTCTCAGGAAGCAATCACTGCATTAGCCGCATACGTACTCACCAGCTTCACTTAGAAACTTCTCCTTCACGTCACCCGAGCAGTCTTTGCATGTTTTGATTGCCACCCGTGTTCTTTCTCCACTCTGCAAACACATGAACCTTCAGCATCCTCCTACTTTGCATTCACTATATTAAATAGGGCTGCAGCTAACAATTACATTGCAAATTGATTAAAATGTCAGATATTTTTTCGATTAATCAATTAATAATCGGGTAGCCAAAGGTTCCTTAAAGAAGATTTGCTATTAAATTAAACCAGTTGACAGGAAAACGTTTCCACTTGAGGAGTTCTAGATAGAATAGACTGACAGACGAAAACATTTTTTCATCTTAAATGTAAAATGTTAATGTATTTGTTTCACAATTTTGATATAATTACTGCTCTAAGTGGGTTACTCGTTTTAGAGTCTATACTCCAGTTAACGATTGATCGATTACTACATTTGTTGATGATTAAATAAATATTCGATAAATCACAATTTGAACCCTAATATTAATAAAGATCTAAAATGCAGCTTAGAAAGAAAAGCAGATGAAAGACATAACTTACTGGGCTTTTGTAAACTCCTTCATGCACTTCCCCGAAAAAACCTTCCCCCAGGATCCGACCTACAACAATGTCATCTCTGGAGATCCGGTGTTTATCTGAACACATAAACATCATAGAGGGAATAAGCAAAATATAAAAAAAATCAGATGATTTTATAGGTTTATCATCAGGGTGCTAGATAGCACAGATAAACCACATAACCTTAAATAACATATCACCTGAAAATGCCAAAACATCAATAATGTAACTTCCAGATGCACAAGACTGTAAAGGAGGCGAGCAGCTCCTTTAGTGAGAGACTTTTACACGCTGTTTGTAAAAAGGAGCGCTACCGAAGGTCATTTATTCCTGCTGCCATCAGACTTTACAATGTGGCACTATAACTGCAATAACCTGTGCAATAATTAAAGTGCAATTACTATTTAATACCCTGTGCAATAACTCTGTTAAATAAGAGACTTTAGCTGATATATGTATATATATATATATATATATATATATATATATATATATATATATA